TGAAAAATAATCATTCATCACAAATACCAAATGTCTGACCCCGCACACTATAGCTTCAATAATTATACCAGGACGATTTTTTCAAAACTTGCTTGGTCATTAATTTGGACGTAATTAAATGCCATAAAAGCATACATGATTCAATGAGCAGTACTGTGTGTCTATCAGGCAGTGGGGGGAGAATCCTTTAGCTCATTTTCATGCACAGACGCACACAAGACCAAGGCTAGTTATCAAACTGTCAGCTTTAAGTTTTTGCTGGTGCCCCAGAAGCAAGCACAAATATAATAGCCAATGGTGTCGAACAGTGTCATATTATAAAGATGACCCAAAGACATTGAATTCTACCAATTCTCAGTGTGCATCCATTTTTATTGAAATTGGGTGTTGCTACATGAACCACTTTTATCTTGTTAGGGACAATTGAAAAAAGCAATTACCTGCTTTTGCTGCTTTGTGCCTGACAACAAGGTAACAGGCAGAGGACAATAAGGAACTGCTCACTTCATCTTGTGCTACTAAGAGGGCCATTGGTGAACATTTATAACCACCTCTTCCTTTGTTTTGGGAATAGACCCTGGCCCTAAACAGCACTGACAGCCAACTTGGACCTAATATACTTACACCACTTGGAAATACCTGGAAGACATCTTTGGTCAAATGCTTCTCCACATTTTGTAAAGGGCAGACACAGGGTTTATAAGATTTATCTGCTTCCTTATTTTTTGTTCATGCCAGCAATGACAAAGCACATAATGGTTGGAACATGTATGTATGTTAATTGTCTGATTTTTTTGTTCTTCTCTTTAAATTGATGACACCAAAATGTATTGGCATATAAATAAATAAACGACATTACTCTGCACTTCAAAATGCTACTATAAAGATTTAGATTCTGGTAAAATCAAGTCAAGTTGAGGTGTTATTATTAAAGATATCTTTCTTCTATCTCTCCTTTGTGATTTTATTTTGACAGCAAATCATCTCCTAGTGTTATTTACTTATATAGCTTCTTATTTAGAACAATGGGAGATACAGGACTACATTAATCTGTGCACTATTTCTTCCTTACAACCTCTTGTATAGAGCTGAGAGATATATTTGTATTATTTTATTTCTATATTTTGTATATTTCTATATTGTTACTTTTGCTACTGTGTCCAAATAATGTCCTTTGTGGCCTTTGTCAGTAAACTTTGTCTAGCGGTTCTATTCTGTTCCATTTGTATTAGTCTAGTATAATGGTCAACTAAAATGATGCTTTCAAAACATCAAGACAGTCTTGGTCAGTTTTTCAGCTAATATATTGGCTTACTGTAAATATTTTTTATTGTTGGACTTACACAGCAATTGACTCTACTCTGTCTTTAATGCATACTGATTGAACATAAGTTTTACACTGGATGCCCTTTCTGGCTCAACCTCGTATCCATGGTTTTCACAGTGATGAAGCAATGAATGAAGAAAAATGCTCAACTATAGGGCTATAAACAGGAAACTGAAACTCATGAATATTTCTCTAGATCTCGCTGTGAAGGATCTGACGAATTCATTTTCACTGTGTCATGTGAAGGCACTTTTCTTGGTCTTTTGACATAAAAGCTACCAGTTCTTCACATGTTCCTGCTGTGAGACATTACATTTGATTCAGAAGTAACAGAGACTCTTGAGATAATTAAAAGCATTGTGCGCCATTCTCCTGCAACTGAGCGGCTGATTAGAAATGTAATTGAATCGGGAGGTACGATTCACAGAGGGAGTTGCCGGTTTTGTTAGAGTGTAATGAGTCTCCTACATGACTATATCATAATCAGAGAAAATGACATACGTGCTGTTAATGTATCTATAGAGAAATTAGCCTGATAAACACATAAAGCTTACACTTGTGAGCTTTTAACCATGTCAGAATGCTGTTACTTTCTCAAAAATGTATCTGGAGTTGTGTTTTGTTTCATTCACACATGTTTGAGTAATCCTGGTTTATTAGTCTGTCTACATCTTCAACCTCATATTCCTCTGTTTCACCTTGTGATGTCAAGCGGTAGTTTTCAAGTTCAATGCTACTTTTTACATTTAGTTCAGAAGAGACTGGCAATTCCAGGGTTGAAATCATCCAAATGATTCTACTGAAGGTGTATGGAGTACACAGTGGAGCACTTCCTGTATTGCCTTATGACATCACAAGGTGGAACAGTGGGTTTTTCTATTTGAGAGAGAGAGATATGTTTGTGAAGAGGAAACAATATTATGGCATAGATCAGAAAACAGTGTGATATGGGTCCTTTAACTTGGTTCTTTACCATTGCAATATATAGGGCCAGTGCCTTGTTTGAAATACTTGATCTATGACTGTTTCTTGTTTAGCTTTTTCATATTTTGTCAATTTTGCTTAAACTTTGATACATTCTTTGTTCATAAATCTGTCTAGTGATTTTGCGCTGCACCTCAACGGAAAGTTTTCAAAATCAAGTGCTATACACTGAAATACGACTGCAGTGGATTTCATCTGTGAGATGGATTTTGGATATTTTCAAGGGGTTCCTCTCCAAAAGCTACACTCTTTATTCTGCTCTTGCATAAATTTAAAAAAATATGCATCCACCTTCTCTCTCCTCCACATGCACTATCCCTTGATGATATTTTAACACATTTCTCATGAATATTGCTCAACTTTTTGGGTTGGAGAGTCCTTTTAAGATGACAGCTTTCAAGTAAAAAGGTGATTATCTTTGGCTGCTTTCCAGTGAGGAGCAGTGAGACATTCCTGAAGGGATATAAATACTGTATTTATCCCAAGCAGACGCATAAACAGAAAGTAGGATAACATGAAGTGGGACAGCTACATGGACTTTTCTCAAGAGGCTCCATAGTACAAAATATTTGGCATTCCATGTATGTTTTCTATCCGGTACATCCTGTAGGAAACACTTTGTCATAACATTTAGCTATTTCCTAATCTTTCGTGACATTGCATGATTTGTTTTCTAAATACAGTAATTCATTTGCTTGTGATTAAAGCAACACTGTGTAACTTTCTGCAAGTGGCACATGATTTCATCTAAATAAAAAGTTAAAACCATACTTTGGAGCATTTTCCATGGAGATAGATGGGTTTTGTGCAATACTGTGGAAGGAAAAACATCTCCATGGAAACAAGCAGGTAGCGATAAGTGAGACAGATATAAAAACAAGAATTTTAGAAGGAAAATTGGTTAATGTGTTCTAATCAGGATGTTTTATACTTCAGGCTATCATTAACATCATTCACTTTCATAATTCAGAAGATGCCTCCTACAATAACAGAACCTGCCTCTCTGGAAACACAAAACAGAGGATTTGTGAGGCCTGGCTATTTGATATTATCTCTGTGGAAGATAACATGCAAGAGAAGCAATAACAGTAAAGAGAAATGGCATTTTGAAAATAGGCAGTTGGACAGTAGCAATTTCATACTATGTCGCAAAATATACACGATAAACTGAAGGAAAGAATGAAGGCAATATCTGGAATGCACCAAAAGACACGCACTGTATTGTGAGGTATAAATTGAAATCAAACATCTGTCTGATATCCCATAGATGTTGCAGACACAGCGGGGCCTGGACATTGTTCTGTGGAGAGCTGGTACTGAGAGCGAAGGGGGTGAGATTATGGTGTTATGTAAGTTTAGGTGTTCTCTGATAACTGATTGCACTGGCTCAGATTTAAACATGCATTTTCTTTTAAAAGTACTCTAATATAATTATTTAAAGTCATTGTAAAATTTTGTTAATTAATTGGTCAAATATCCAGTAATTCTAAAACTTTTCACATCAAGAACATCAAAAATAGTTGTCGTTAGAAGCACTGCTATCACAAAAGAACTTGATCAGGTCTTGCCTAAGTTTTGAGAACTAAATCTAGACACAATCAGGACAAAATGAGGTCTGATGATTTAATTCAGAACATTAAGTGGCACAATTAAGCCTTCACAAATCCTTAAAGGGCCCATATTACTCTATTTTCTGATATATGTTATATTGTTTCCTCATCACAAACAAACCTAAAGTTTTTGTTTGTTTCATTCACACATGTTTAACACACAAACCCTGCATATTTTAGTTCTTCTCTCAAACAGAAAGCTCTGTTCCACCCTGTGATGTCGTGGTAATACAGGAACTGCTCCACTGTGTTTTAAATCTCCATATTACATTCACAGAAACATTTGGATAATTTCATCCCTTGAATTGCCAAACTCTACTTAAATAAAGGCAAAGGTTAGTTGTTAACTTGAAAACTACCACTTCATGACATCACAAGGTGGAACAGAGCATTTTGAGCTTTAGAAATGTAGACAGGTTTATAATGCAGAATTATTCAAACATTTGTGAGTGAAACAAAACTGCAGGTATGTTTTTCAGGAGGTAACATTCTAACGTGGCTTAAAGCTCACAAGAGTCTCTTTGGTGTAATATAGGACCTTTAGTAGTTATTTTTTTTATATGCTATCTTATATTTTTTTTAGATTCATATTTATTTATTTATTTATTTTTGTCCAGTGCTGTATCCAGATTTGATTCCTAGCTTGTTAAGGTCTGTCAAACAGACTGGATACAGACCGTGTGATCCAAATATGCTCTTGGTGACTGCATCTTTCTCCACAGACAACCTCAGAGTGATTCCGAATTATTTCCAAGTGCAAGGTCCAAATCTAGTCAACACTACATGCAACCATTTGCAGAGTTACAGAAACGTGAAATGGGCCTGCGTGTGACATTTGACAGCATGACACGCTGGTGCGTAAAATAGAAACATATCCCACTAGTACTCACCTGCACATTTATTCATTTAGACATTTAGATCTGTACAACACTTGGTCAGTAATATTACAGATACATTTAAATAGTGTAGGAATGGCGCGTCACGGAGGATGAGCAGTTGAGATACACACTCCCTGGATTATGATGTGATGTGCGCTCCAGACTTGTCCCGCGTTGTGACCTATTTTCCCTCCCACTTATTTATGTGCGTTTAGTTCTGCAGATAATTTTCTTGAAGGCTTTCCTAAAATCCCTGTTAAAAATTGTGTATATGATTGGGTTCACGGAGCTGTTGCAGTAGCCAATCCAAAAGAAGAGGTTGAAAAGTGCGCCAGGTATGTAGCAGCTGTCTCTGCAGATTGCATGCAGGCTGTAAGTAAAGAAAAAAGGAAACCAGCACAAAACGAAGACCCCCATGACCACCGCCAGGACGAAGGTGAAGCGTTTCTCCCGCATTTGGGCCACTTTGGTTTTGTTCGCAGCTGCGAGTTGCTGTCTCCCGCTGGGGTTCTTCTGTTGCTCCGGGTGCATCTGTACGGCCCGGGAGGATGCCCAAGAAAGGCGGCAGTTCTGTGGAGGACAGCAGTTGGCGCCCTCCACCTTTCTCCGTTTTGTGAAGCGGTTGCTGCGCGGTTTCGTATCCGACTGGGAACAGCTCTCCTCCAGGTCAATGTCATCCAATTCCCCTCGTCTCTGCTGATTGCTCCCGGAGCTTTGGCTGCTTGGACTTTCAGTTTCAAAACGGTCTTTATTTGTAACGAAACATGTCTCTGACTGAGAGGGTTGCCTCTCCAGGCCGTTTTTAGCCACGAACACAGTGGAGGAACGCTGCTTTGCCACTTTGTAGATTTTGCAGTAAACTAGAATCATGATGAGCCCAGGGGCAAAGAAGGACACAAGGCATGAGGAAAGGATGTACCAGGTCTCATCATTGAGCAGGCACTCGCGCTCACCGTGTTTGGTCATGAGGAGAGGAGGGAAGGAGATGACCGCAGAAATGAGCCAAACCACAGCGATCATGGATTTGATGCGCTTTGGCGTGCGCTTCAAGTTGTAGCTAACCGCTTTTGTGACAGACCAGTACCGATCCAAACTTATGGCGCACAGGTGCACAATTGATGAGGTGCAAAACAACACATCTAGCGCCAGGTAAAATGCGCACCAGGTGCTTCCGAAGTACCAGTAGCCCATGACCTCATTGGCCAGTGAAAATGGGATGACCAGTGTAGCCACCAGGATGTCTGCTGAAGCCAGAGACACTAGAAACAGGTTCTGTGGCGCGCGGAGAGCCCGGCTCGTGAGCACTGCTACAATCACCAAAACGTTGCCCACTATGGTCAGCAGTATAATCGCGGTGACCACCAGGATGATGAGCGCAGCCACCAGCTCTGTGTGCGGCAAGGAGAACTGTGCGTCAGTGCTGTTCTCATCGTTCGACAGGTTCTCACGAAGCACAGTTACTTGTGTCAAATCCATTCTGTCTTCAAAGTGTCCATGTGCGTCATTTTGGCAGTTCTTTCTCTGGTTACCCGTGTCCTCGCCAGTGGATTGCGCGCTGGATTAGTGAGTTGGATTACGCATAACGCTCCTGCCTGATAAAAAACACCTCAGGCGCTGATTATTCGAAACAAGTCCATGAAAAGTTCCCATGATATATTCCCATAAAATAAGACGCAATCAGAACTCACAATCCGCTTGGTGCTGTCGAGGATGCGCGCTCGCTCCGTGCGTAAAGCCACAGAGAGTGTTGGTGCGGAGTAATGCGCGGAGCTGTTCAGGGCTCCTGCAGGATCGAGGTGACATCACTCCCTGGACCAGCCCCTCTCCAAACTTACAGAGAGAGAGCAGAGGGAGAAGGATCTGTGCCGCTTTGAGCGGTCTTTGGACTAGGAGTGTTTTCGGGTTGGAATTGTTTCATCTTTCACAAGCAGCGCAGCTGTTGTGTTTTTCCAACTTTTCTGAATACGGCATCAGGCACGCAGAAAGCGGAGCAAAGGATGTGCATTTTTATTCTGAGATTGCCTGAAATTATAACACAACTAAATCAGGTGTTACTCAAATTAAAATTTCAGTAAAACATATATTTTAGTTAATTGGTTCTCAAACGTTTCGCCTGAAGAAAAAAGTATCATTTAAGAAAATATTTGGTCTTTTGAGTATACCTTAAACCCCTTCTAGCTTTTCAAAAAGATTATATAATATAATAAATAATACAATAAATGTATCACTATTAATCATAATTTAACTTAAATCAGTTATCTTTAATGGATTGGTGCAGTGCTAGAGTATAGGTGCATTGAAGCTGAACATCTGTAACCCTTTCACTGTTTTTTTTTTTCCCCAGGCTGCTCTTCCTCTCCTCCCACCTGCAGAGCTCATACTGTTCTTCTCTGTCATCACCCACAGTGTGGGACATGTGCATGTCTTGCACAAGATTGCTCCAAAATCTTTTTGCACAGGTCATTGTGGTTACAGATCAACACAGATGATAATGTGAACAAGTAAAATCTGTGGTCAGATATCATCTTGCAGTATCCTATACCAATACACAGGGGTGGAATTGTGCAATGTAGCACCAAAAACTATAAATAGTTTTAGTCTGATGTGAGTTCAATGCAGAAAGGTATTGAAAATGTTCACCTTCATCAGAGAAACCTTCTAAATATCATGGGGTGTCTGTAGCTCAGTAGCACTTCACTGTCATTCCAGTCTGGCTGGAAGCAAAAGGAAGGGCATCTGGTGTACAAAATTCACTATGCACTATGTGTATTGTCCAAAAACACCCTAAACCTTATATCAGTACTCATAATGATGACATTCTCTTAAAACAAACATCAGGTTGCTAATGTCATTGCTGAATCTGTCCATTCATCAAGAGCCGCTAATAAAAGAGGAGGCTTGGCACGCAGCAGGAGATGTACTCTGAACTTTAGGAGGCCAATTAAAAGCTCAGAGTACATCCATGCTATTGGCTATATGGATTTGTGCGGCCTCAATCTGTCACTGCATTTAAAGGGCATTATCTTGTCTGTTTATGGTTCCACTTTATCATCCAGCATCAGTGTGGTCCTATACATGGAAGTGCGGGTTCACTTATGTATCAAGTGAGATGTGACCAGTTATTTAACCAATACTATTTATCTGCCATATAAACAAATGTTTCTCGTTAAACCTACATTCCGCTAGCTTTAATAGCCAGTCTGGGGAATAATTAGAGCCGTGTTATGTTTTATTTACAAATGGAAGTCATTAAATGCAAACACAGTGCAATGAATTATAGGTTAGATTTAGATTATGTAATGAGAAAGTGTAATATAGTTGTACTAGAAATATTATTTAAATTATTTTATCAGTGTTGGGAAAAATATTTAGAAAGTGTATTTAGTTACTGAATACTGAATATTAAAATGTATTTTGTTATGTATTCTGTTACATGAGCCAATCAGAGTACTGTATTCTGAATACTTTGAATGCTTTTACACCCAGTTGCAATATATTTTAGTTTATTTAAAAAAAAAAGCTTTATTTCTGTTGCCCTAGTGGTTATTAACTAACACTGAGAGGTCTAATTTCAGAAGAAAAAATACACATGCACACTCATTAATCTCAACAATAACTTGCAGTACAAAGACAAAATTACATGATAAAGTACCACCATGTATACTTTTTAATTCACAAAAGTAACTGCATTCTGAATACCAACAACTTAGAGAATAACTGTACGGGAACATAATTACATAAATTAGTATTCAAAATATGTATTTTTGGTACATGTATTATTGTATCATGAAAATTTAAGCCATGTTAGAATGCTGTTTCCTCATCAGAAACGTACCTGGTGTTGTGTTTTGTTTCATTCATACATATTTAGGCTTCGTCTCTCAAACAGAAAACACCCTGTTCCACCTTGTGATGTCATGAAGTGGTAGTTGTCAAGTTAACAGCTACCTTTTACCTTTAGTTCAGTGGCGATTGGTAATTCCAATGCTTAAATTATCCAAAGGGTTCTAGTGAAGGTGTATGAAGTTTAAAAACACAGTGGAGTACTCCTTGTATTACCTCAATTTGATATGATTTGACAGAGTGTATTCTGTTTGAGAGAAGAAGCCTAAACATGCAGGGTTTGTGTCTTAAACATGTGTGAATGAAACAAAACACAACTCCAGGTACGTGATGAGGTAACAACATTTCAAAACCAGCATAATATAGGACCTTTAAACCACTTAGCCACTGCAGTCACCAAAGTACTTTTCAATTCTATGGGTATTCTTGAGTGATCATATAATGCATTTGAGATGAATCAATATTTGTTACAGACTATCTTCACATTCACTCCAATCTGTCATTGTAACTCAGACACACACAGAGTCCGTGCTGAGAGATTCTGAATAAAACTGGAAATGTCCAAGCACATGCAGCTCCTTTTGGCAGATGCCCCTCACTAATTCTATTTTTCAAAAACATCTATTTATAAAGTCAATAGCATCTGCTGGAGATTTGTCAATGCGCTGGTGTGTGAGGGATGCCAGCCATGATGCTGGAGCTGCTTTAGAGACAACAGCCAAGCGTAACACATCTATCCAGTATTTGGAAGAGGAAATGGATGAGCTTGTACATTGTTTACGTTAAGTCCACATTCTGCTATGGGATGGATGTAAAAGACTGAAAAAGAAAAGTGGGGATAGTGACCAGCTGCTGACCCTCAGCACCAAAAGTGAGAGCCACAAACAAAGTCAAACAGACTGAGAGTAAACTGAAATAATTGTAGCAAATGAGGAAGTCTGGGTGTGCATGAATTTGCGTCAATTAGCTGTTGCATCTGTTTTTCATAAAGCAGCTGGGCTGAATTGTACCCAGAACAGAGCGTTATTAGTATTCACCTGTCAAAACAAAAGTTTATTATAACACAATTTACTTTTGGATAAATAATAGAAAAAAATAAGCTAAATATATCTGCAGTTTATGAAGTCTTATTTTTCACACTTTAGAATAACTACACTTTAACTAGCCTTAAGAAAGCATGAAGAAAGACAGAATAATGGACTAGAATTGTCACAATACAAAAATTTCAAACTCAATTTTAATATTAAGGAGTAAACTTGATACTCAACAGTCATTCTGATACCACAATGATAATTAGGCGATAGAATGTGATTTTCAACATTAAATAATAATAATTGACTGTACTGTAGGTTAGGCAGCACTCACAGTCTTCATATACATATCTACAGAAATTAGAAGGCCTAAGCTTTAAAATGATGCCTCACACAAGCATGTGGGTTCTAAGGTTTTCTTTTAATAAGCTATGGCATTTGGGTATGTAGTGCTATTGTGCACACGCCAAAATTAGGTGGATGGGAACAGGTTTTAAAGCCGGGCGTACACTGTGCAATTTTTGACCCTTTTTGAGCCGATTTTTCACTCGTGCAACTATTTTGGGGATCAGACACAGAAGCGGAAGCAGGATATGAGGTTGTGGAGGACGATGGCAGGCCGGCGAGTGTTTTGGACACAGGACATGGAGACACAACTAGTTGAGCAACACAGAACAGAAGTTTGGTGAAAAACTTGATGCTACTTACCTCCAGTTCCTTCTGAAGAACTTACAACCCGTACTGCCCACTTCTGCCCAGCCATTTCTTTGACCAGATTCGTCACCTCTTCTTTTTGGGCTTGTCTGCACAGAGAATGACACAAATTGCCAAGGCAGCGCATCTGTTTTTTGCCTGGATCAGCATTGTGTCTGTGGTTTTCTAATAGACACATCAAGAATCTTGGACTTCCGGTCATTGCGCAATGCATACTGGGAAGGATTTTCCGAAAAAGTGAGCATCAAACCGCTATGTTTGTTTTCCCTGTGGGATGCGTCTATTGACAAAGTCGATCTTTTCTAGTCTTTTGAACCATATCACTTTTGTTTCTGGTTCTGATATTGTCATATTTTAGTTTTGGGATTCGGACATCATTAATTATGTGGTTGTTGGATGTCCTAAAAGCGGAAAACGGCTCGAGAAATTTGTTTGCGAACTCCATAAATGCAAAAGGGAATCAGATCTGTGTGACTACAAACCTCTGTTCAAACTGTTTTGCTTCCCAATGGAATTGAAAAATAGTGAAAGGCGAAGGCGATGGGCACTACTGATACACAGGAAGGACGAAAAAAGAAACTTTGACTGCCTAAATCATCTCGAGTTTGTAGCGAACATTTTGTATGTGGAGCACCATCGAAGCGGGATCCCGATTCCTTTCTCCACCTTGGTTACGAATTTAAAAAATCAACGCCAAAGCGAAAGGCACCAGCTGTTCGCCAAGAAACAACTTCCACTGCAAAGCAACCAAGATGTAATGTTGCTGTAAAACCACAAGAACAAGAAAGTGCGAGCTCAGTCTCTTTGTTTTCTGCACCTCTCGCTTAACAAATGGGATCCCGCTTTGATGGCACTCCACATACAAAATGTTCGCTGCAAACTCGGGAT